ACACACACACACACACACACACACACACACACACACTTATAAAGAAATTCAATGAAAGTTATCAGTGCATTATCAATCTTTTAATCATTTGTCCTCATCCAATATTGGAATGATTAATGATTGATTGTTAGATGAGATTGATGGGAATAATTGAAATAAACTTGACAAGTTTAGCTAGCATCCACACTGATAATAAGCTCATAAAGATAATTTGATATCAGATGAGCATAAGTGATTTATCAGATAGCCTCACTACAAGTACCACTATTATTATCATATCACTGTCATCATTCATTTCTCGTAGAAAAGCGAAAACGGCATGAAGAAGAGAAAGCAAATGAGAAGAAATATTTCCACTTTATATAATTTTGGAAACAGTGAGGATATTTCAGATAGATTTTTAGCATTAATATGCAAAACATATTTAGAATGACCAGAAAGTGGACACATAAGTATGAATATGAATGACCAGAAAATGCAATCATTTATTGGTCAGAGATAAAAGTGTTATAAAAAATGACAGAAATTATTGATGTCAAATAAACATGAAAATGAATTAGATGGAATGATTTAATATTTTAATCCAGAAAACAAATTAACGATGATTGTTGCCGGATATTTAATTGTATGTTTATTGTATGTTTATCATGGGATCAGTAAAATTATATTGCTATCATCATCATACCAAATTCGATTCATTAGTCGGCAAATATGATGACTAATAGTTAAACTTATTTTGTTGAATCACTCTCATTTCCGAAACGCTTCCAATAATTACATTCTATAGCATATGGAAAGAGCAAAAAAATGAACATTATTTGTAAAGCGGAGGAGAGAAAGGAATCTATTAGTCATTTAGATGAATAATACTTACTTACTTACTTAGATACTCTTTTCTCAATCCATCATCTCACATTGTATCCTTCTATGTGCGCGAGTGTGTGTATATGTATGTATGTGTGTGCGTATCTGTGTGTGCATGTTAATGAATGCTATTTGTAGATATGTGATGAATTGCTTGGAATAAAATAAAAAGCGGAAAGATGGAAGGGAAGGAAGAGGAATGGGAGTGGACCCGAGAAAACGTTGAAACAGAAAATGAAAGTGGCGGGAGTATCAAAAGTTCGAGATTTTGTTGCCACATTCGCATATCGACCGATCGCACTCCATGGATACGCTCTTTACGGACCTAATTGCGTAAATTTCAGCTAGCAATTTAGACCTTATGGACAGCTCTAAGCCTGAATTGGTTTTAATGAAGTACATTTAGCTTTCTTCAAGCTCATTGAAATAATATATACACCTGGCAAACACACATACACACACACACAAACACATACATGCACATACATATGCATGCATAAAATATTCCTGTTCATGAAGATGTAAAGGTAAGATATATATAATATCCTTAAAATAATAAATAATTTGCATAACTATTTTCATACAAGAGAATAGTATCCATCGAGCGAGCACTACAAGAGTGCCTGAGAATAGTGTCTCACCGTTGTCACCCCGGGAAAAATCGAACAAGAGATGTGGCACTGAATTGTTAAATAATTTTGGAAATTAAAGTGAATTATTTTGTAGATTAATTAGATTAATAACACATACTCGATGATATTATCTTGTTGACAAATGATATGTTCAACGTAATATATAAAATATGGGATGATAAGCGGAAAATATTTGATGAATTTACGCAATTAGGTATTTAATGAAGTGATCGAAAACTTAGCTAGTAACAATTTTACAGATAGCTTGTTTAATTACTGGATTGAAAATAATTGCTTTTATTGATGAAGCCATTTTTAAAGTGTTAATGTCAGTTATCTTAACTTAATCAAAATAAACTTCCCACATTCTAAATCCGAACAATTGGTTTTTATTAATAAATTTGCTTGTCCCAAAAATATTTCTCTCGGTGTTCTAATTAGCCAATCTGACATTTGATGATGTGTCATTTGTATAAGTTCGCAATGAATAATCTTTCGTCTTGATATGTCAAAATCATGTCATTAAGGTTGATGGGTTAATCTATTGTTGTAAGAGTACTCAAAAGTACAGTTAGTGTCTGTAAAGAGCCAAAGGCTCAGTCCATTTTTTACAATGTGCAGATGTTTTTCCTGATAACTTTAAGAGAGAGATGGACTTTTCATTTTATTTCCCATTAAAAATGTTCGTCAAGGAGTGCGATTTGTGTTATACAATCTAAATAGATAAATTTCAAAAGAAACTGAAAGTATAGGCTGCTAAAGAATTCATGGGACAATAGTAAAGCTGGACTGAGTTGTAGTGAGATTTAATTATTTATTATAAAAGTTGTAAGTGCTGTATACACACACACACACACACACACACACACACACACACACACACACACACACACACACATACATACACATTGTTTTTTCCTTCTTTTCTATTTTAGCAATGGTCTAATTAGAATCAATACTGCCAATTTAAGGGCTGTTCGCACTTAAATAGGCTCGAAAAAAATAATCCCTTCTCTTTTCTCTAACCATCCAACACCTTTCCGGAAGGAATATTGAACTGACGGAAAATGCGTGGACAATCTTCATTTCATATGCGTTTTTTTTACCCATTTCTAGCATTCACCATTCTCAGTCCATTCGTTCAGCAGAACTTAGTAATGGAAAAAGAGTAGAATTGTAAAAAAAATTCAATAATTGTTTGAAATTTAAACAAAATCCGACATGAAAATAAGCAGTTAGTGGCTGTAATTAAGCAGGAAGGTTACCCCGGAATAACCTCTTATCAGGTAGAAAGGAAGGAGAAAGAGATTGAAGAGTGATCAGGAAATCTTTGCATGAAATTGAACGGGTGAACAGATGGACAAGAGAAAAGAGACATCAGCGTTGCACACAGGGTGGATTGGTACGAGTTCAGACTGTCATGGTTCAGGAATGTCATCCGGATGAGAGTGTCGGAGCAATATCGGCTTGACGGAATTGGACGTCAGCCGGAATTGTCATCCATATTGTTACGATGTATGGGCAACGCATCTGTTTTCCGGTTCTTTAGAACCCTCTCTACCATACTACCCGCATGTTTTCTTATCTTTCTATGTCTTATATCTGTTGCTTTCGTCCTACCCAACTTTCTCTTCAACGAACTTCTCCTACAGCCACCTCTTCATGGGCCAATCACATTTCGGTTTGTTATAATACCATTTGCTCTCTTCCATTAATTCTTAATTATGGATTAAAAAAAGGAAATATTATACAGCATAAGTAGATGTGACTTATGTCCATAATATTAAGAATGTTATGAATGTTGCTTCTTAAGTCGAGTTTTAATTAAAATTCAAATTGAACTCATTCTGTTCCATACAAATTTTCAGCTTAAATGAGATTCAGATTTCTTAATTCATCATTCCAAATGCATTGAATAAAGTGAACTGAGCGAAATTAAATTAAGTTAAATTGATAATAAAATTGAGATTCTTCAGAAGTTTGTTAGTTTGAATATGGTCAATTAACAAAATAAAAATAACGTTCGTATTTTCTGTAGATTTATTAATTTAACTATAGTGAATCTATTAAACAAACTGATCCCAATGAGATTAAATTACTAGCAACATTATTCGCCAATTAATAAAATTGTCTAGTATAGCAGAATAAATTTCTGATGGACAGTAACATTAAATTGTATGATCGGGGTGTACATATTGTATGATAGTCATGCATCAGTCTTCCTCGAACAGAACGGAAGCGCTATTTGAAATATACTATATTTCGTGTTCCATACTTCTTGCTTCCGGGAAAATATCAGCTGTCTTAGTTAATTTTTTTTCACTACTGACTAAGATATTAAGATTAGTTATTTTTAATTAGTTTTTTTCTGAATGATCCAATTTCACTTGTTCCAGAAGAGGAAAAAGCTCGGAAAAATATGCATGGAACAATCCATGGACGGATTCAAACTTGCAGGAAACCAAACGAATTCTGGTATCGGTAAGACGAGATTTGCTTGAAGCTGCTCGTCAATTAGAAAATATTAATTTGGAGCATGAAATAATTACCAAACAAATGGCTGATGCAAGTATGTAATATTTTGAATTTCTTTCTTTTTCGATTTAGAAAATGAGCATAAGTGGAAATTATTTTAGCAGAGTAGTTGCCATAACATTTCCTTCGTAATATCATCAATATCTCTTTTTATCCTTTATTCTTTTTGACTGATATTCTCAGATTTGCTGCACGGAATGACAAAGTCTTATGATTCTGGCGATTTGCTTTAAGCAATATATGTTCATGTTCTATAAAGAAATTCTGGATCTTCCGATTTCTGTTTTGCTTTCACATTGCTATGTGTTTATTTGCAGGAAATGAATTGAAAATTTTACTACTGGATATCGAAGATATGGAATTATATCGTCGAGAATTGCTAGCTAAAAACCGTGTACCATTATATCTTCCTATGGCTCCTACTGTTATATCTGGTAATGGACATATGGATGACATAACAGGCACACCTCCGAACATAGCTTCTTTCGAGGCAGTCTTCAATTTCAGGTCATCTACTCTTCAGTGTTTTCTATATTTTGATATTTGGTTAAATTACTTATTTTTTTTCATATTTTCTGATCTGTTAATTTCAGGAATTTTTAGCATCTTTACTTTTGCTTCTTTCTTAAAAAAAAAAACTCATATTTTGTCACAGTTGCTGCGTCCAATTGCCATTTCTTTAAATACTTCAGGATTCTGGATTGGAAAACAAAATTGATGTATTAAAATTGCTATATTTTAACTACTGTAAACTTTTTCAAGTTTTCAAAATTAGAAAAAATTGTGATAATAAAGTCCCAGATCTATAATTATTTTCTTCCAAACTGAAATATCTTTTTCTTTCACACTTTTTTGTTTTCGAACTCTAAACTTTTAAGCAAATGTTCAATAGCTGGAAATTTTGGTATCTATGTTTACAAACCTGGAGAGAATGCATCGGAACATGCTATGGATTATTATAATTTGTTCAGGTGAAGTTATTTTATTATGAAGAATTCGTCATTTTTTTTGAAATTGGAGTGAATAAACAAAGGAAATTATAATTGAGATCGAAAGTGGCTTTGGTTTAGTAGAACAAGGAAATCACTAAGCTCTAGAATGAAACTGATTTAATCTGCTGACTAGTTGAATCTTTTTTGAAATTTTATAAGTTGATAACTAATACTCTCAACAATGGGCCTTAGTCAAATTATCGTGCAGTGCTGGCAGTATTTGTAACAGAATGAGTTTTTAATTTTTTTGCAGCCAATTTCATATGCTAACCAATCGACCGAATGATGCATGTATTTTATTTGCATTCGTGGATAATAGCAATGATGTGAAACATTTGAAATACTGGAATAATGGTCGGAATCATGTTCTGCTAAATGTTGGTATCAATTCGCTCTCGTATTATCCGAATTCAGTCATTGTTTCTGCACTATATGATCATAGGTAAGATTTGAAAATTTCCGAGTCATTTCTTTTTTAAGATGAAGGCATGCTTTTTCCGTCAGAAAATCAAGATTAAAATTTCAAGGAAGATACTTGAGTTTGAGATTATTTGAACGTACCATAGTTGATGCATAGTAATCTAATAAGTACCTTAAACAACGAATAATTTGAAAAAGAGATTGTGTTCTCTGAAATAATTCAGGAAGTTCAAGGATAATTTCGATATATCTTTGAATATAAGAGTTCCTAATTATAACAAAAATCGCTGGAAGGAGTTATCTTCTTTGCTACCTTTAGCAAGAAAAGTAAGTTTAGTATTTCAATTTGTTGCCAGAATTATTCGGATCTGAAGGCTTTGCCCTCATATTGTGCGATCATATTTTGGTCATAACACTGCTATTTTGAACTATCTCTTTCTTTAGAAATTGGTGCACTACATTCATGAATTGTTAATATCATATGCTACTTATTTTCCATACCGACTCTTCCAATAAATGCTCTTAAAAATAATGTCTTCATACCTAATGTGTTATTAATAATTTCTACTTAATGATTTAAAATTAAAGAAACCAACCTATATAAAATTAATTAATTCAATTTTCAGTACCTTTTGTCATGTGCTGGTACAACAATATCAGAAGAAATTTCATCAGATATAAAAGAGCAGCTAGAATTATTGGCAAGTTCAGCTGAATCTGTTGGTGATCGAGTATTTCTGGATACCAGTTGCAAAGAAAACTGCACTTCAAGGAGTACGTACTTAATTTTTTAATTATGTTTGCGGAATTACAATAAGTAACCTTGTCAGACTGTACTCACATTAAACGATCAGTGGATTAATTTACAGAAAATTTCGAAATATTGATGACCAGTTATTGTAAATGCTTTAAATTAAAATTAAGTAAAATAAGTGGAATGGATAATTTTCCAGTTTCTTAAATAACTTCCAAATGTCCTTTATATGTAACGTACAAATTCTGAAATTAGTACAATGTATTCGTAAAATAATATCAATGAGATTAACTTAGAATAGAAACATAACTTAACTTCATCTCAACTTTGGTTGCATTGCACAAATTAAGTTGATTCATAATGTGATTTAATTACTGTTTAGATAACATTTACCTTGAATCGGTATTCGCTCTTATACTTTTCCAAAGTGGACAAAGTCCCACAACTGTGTTTCATGATCAGTTACTCGCTGCCCTTCAGTATGGTGCTATACCGGTAATAACAACATTACAACCACCTTTGCCGTTTATGGACTGGCTCGATTGGCGGCGAGCTGTATATACATTACCACTGCAACGATTACCTGAATTACATTTTATCTTACGTTCCTTTGCACCCTCCGATATTTTGGAGATGAGGCGTCAAGGACGATTTTTGCTAGAAAATTATCTTATCGATAAAAAAGGTTAATTTATGAAAATATACAGCGAAATAAATAAGTAAATGTACGATGGGGAGAATAGGAGTAAAATGGATGAAAAAGGAGTGAAAAATACATGCTATTCTTAATACTTTTTTCTTCACAATGTTTCAAAAATTTTCATATGTTAATTTTGCAGTAGTTGCTGAAACATTAATATCAGCGTTAAGATTCCGTATTGGTGTGCCTGGTGAGCAAGCAGTTGCTATACAAGCTAATCCATTGTTTGGTAATCAACAGTTTACTGCTCCACATTTAATTCTAGTGAAACCAGTTGATGAAGAATATTTGGGTATTTTTTTTTTGTTTTTATTTGAAAATCTTGTTATTGAATGAACTTATTTGTAATTCTTAATTTTTCTTCTAATGTTAAACTTTTTTTTATTGAAAAAAATTCAGATTATTAAAAGAAACAGTAAGGAAGAAGTTAGACTAGACAGTATAATCAGTCATTTCGGTTTCTAAGCCATGCTACTTGAATCCTTTCATTATCAATAATATTTCTATGAAGTAATAACTTGTGGATGCGTTGTTATATCTATGCAAAACTTAACTGTTATTGCAGGACCACGTGAAGCTCCACATAAGTCTTCTCCCTATACACATAATTTTACATCTCTTCAAATGGTATCTATTATTAAATACCTATATTTCTTAACGTTATAGGATGATGACTTAGGCATCAGAATACTGGTAATTATATGCTATAATTGAAAGCATTATGACTACAGTAGTTATTTTTGGCGTTAATAATAATAATAATCTTGACAACAATGTGTTGACTAATGTTATCACTTTGAAAAAACATTTTATGTATGGGATTGTGTAATAATCATTGCATAAGTTGTTACTATTACTCAGTTCATTTTAGTATTCGTATTATTGGTGGAATAACTTTGGTAATGTGGCAGGCAGATCGTTGGAATATATAATTAATGAACCGCCATTCCCATCCCAATTCGAATATGGCGAAGGTCTTGAATGGGGTTTTCGTCCCATTGCCCCCCCTGCAAGTGGCGCAACTTTTTCAAGTGCGCTTGGTGGCAATAGACCACGCGAACAATTTACAGGTAAATGCAATGTTTGTAAAAAATGGAAAAGAAATTAATTTGTTGAAAAAACAATTTGACTTGGATTTCGGATCAAGAGAAGCTAAAGTACGACAAAAGCGTTAAAAAATCCTAAAACATATCAGTATTTGTCTACTGATTCGATGATTTGAATCGAAACATAAGCAAATTGAACGAAAAGGTTTGATAATTAACATCATGAAATTCTTTGGAGAAGCTAATGAGTCGATCTATGTGATATACGATTACGTTCTTTTGACAGTTCTGCACCATTGAACGAAAAACTATTATCGGCACACTTTCTATAATGCTAATTTAGAGCTGTTGACTTAAGTTTCCTGAATTTTATTTTTGAAAACCAATTCATTTATTTATATTCTGCCGTTTCTAGTGGTGCTTCTCACATATCAGCGAGATGCTATATTGGCTTCTGCTCTTGAAAGGCTCAATAATATGCCATATCTAAATAAGGTTAGTCAGTTCTTGTTTGATAAAATCTCCATTTATCCATTCCTTCATTGCCTCCTTATTTCATTCATTGAACGTTTAAATGCTTCATCTTAAAATTTACCATTTGTTATGTGGGAGACTCTGTAATTGTAAAATTAGTGAGAGACTTTTCTCTCTTTCTCTAATAGGGTCTGAACCGAATGAAATTCGGCAGCACACAAGATGGCTTTCGATGTGTAGAGAGAGCGAGAATGGGGTTGTGGGTGATGGGAAGTGTGACATTCGCAGTGACGCACCGGTTTCCTTAATGACCGCATTAATCCAAGTGTGAAGTAATGGCTGTGAGCGAAAGTCCCTGGACCGGAGGCTGAGAGAGCTCCATCCGTAGCACGGGTGTACTCGGATATCCAACCCGGATGGCGTTTGGGCCAGGAGACCGTGAGTGGTTGAGCCTAGGATGGCCATCGGTTGACCTCCGGGGTTCGTTGCAAGCAAAGTGACGTTACACAGTGAAGAACAGCACAGGGCTTACTCTCCCATTGTCACCCGTAGCGTTTTTGTCGGTCTTCGATGTCTTTACAAAACTGCTGAAATATTTTCAGTGCATACCATTGCAACATCAGATAACACTATTTAGCTAATGATAAGTAGTATTGGCTCATATGAAATTTGAATGTATAATACTTCCAAATATATGCTCGATAATCCTCAGTTATAAGAAATTTGTTAGGTATTGGTGATTTGGAATGGACGTGAGCCGCCACTTGAGCGTAGCTGGCCACGATTACACGTCCCCGTTATTTTCATTAACTCAACTGTGAATTCATTGAATAACCGTTTCTTACCATATGAACAGGTGAAATGCTTTTCTTTTTAATTCGCCAGTGGATTCGAAACGGAAGGAATAAATATTACTCATGCATAAGGTGGGGGAATGCGTCAAAAAAGTGGAAGAAGTTGGATAGTAGGACACAAAGTTATTAAGTTGCACAACTATGATTATGAGGCTAATAATTAAAAAGTTCAAGGAATATACTGAAAAAGTTGTGCTGCCTCGGTACTGTTGATCTTCATATTTTTTTGAACTTCAGTCTGCTCGATGTTTTCACTCTTACATTATTTCATTGTAAATCCAGATGGCAACAATCAAATATAGTAGATTTAGCAGCAAAGCCATTAAAATCTGAATTCTTTACTTAATATTCACATCTGCTATAATACATGAAAGACTAGTTAAGACAGTCTTTTAAAGATCAACACGGAAGCAGTGCTCTCGCTAGATGACGACATTGACCTCAGGCAACATGAAATTATTTTCGCATTCAGGTATGAAATTACTTGTTTGATTTGGAGTTGAATTTTGAAATTCCGCATGTGGTTGTTAATACATTACTACTGAAAATGTTCATATTAATCTCTTAAAGGTCAATACCGTAGGCTGTGATTACGTAAGCTTGCGAAAGTTACAATTGGGATTGTTCATGTCTATGAGGCCAGTCAGATTACCATTTTTGCTGATTGTTTCCTAAGGAAAAATGATGCAGCTTGAATTTGCTTTGTGAGATATCAAAAACTTTTACTTTACAGAAAATAAAATGTTTTTAAATGAAAGGGCCACCAATAAAAATTATGCTATGTGCAATGTTCAAGTTAAAGCCGCCTTATCTAATTGAGATGGTTTTCAGCAGTGTTATCAACTGAAGAATCATTGGCATGGTGTTGTAAGGAGTTGTAAGATTTTCTGCATTATTTTTTAGAGTGTGGCGTGAACAAAGGACGAAAATTGTTGGTTTCCCAGCTCGACGTCATTCTCAGCAAGGAAATGACATCTTGTATGACAGCAACCATACGTGCCAATTGAGTATGATATTAACAGGAGCCGCATTTATTCACAAGGTATTAAATATAGATGATTTAGCCATCTATGTAAGATTAAACACTATCGGTACACTAACCGATAAAAGATGAAGAGTTTGAAAGAACAATTCTTTTTAAGTAGACTTTCACACGCTCACCTGTTATTCAAACGTATAAAGTTGGTTCTCCGGTGAGTAATCTTGCATAGATTTCTTTTTACATATTTCTGATAACATTGCAAATGCTTTTTGTCCAAATCTCATGTTTTATCTTTTCATTATATAACTCTTAAAAAAAAGTTCAACTTTTGAGGCTTATTTATATGCCTACACATATGGTATGCCACAAGTAATAAAGGAAAAAGTGGATGAGTTCATGAATTGTGAAGATCTGGCAATGAATTTCTTAGTCGCTCATTTAACACGTGAGCCACCCATCAAAACAACTAGCAAATGGACATTGCGGTTATTGCTTTTATTAATTCAAACTACAATTGAATTTAGATACATAAGATGCAAAAATTAAGTATAAAGCTGGTGTGACAAATGCGATGTGTTGAAAGTGCTTCCTTGTTGGAAGTTCGATGAAATAGCTCAAACTCATTCGTGGCCTATAATGTAACCATATTGTATTTGAATCCATTTATGGTTGGAATATGCTATGTTTCAATATAAATTCACTAGAGACGTAAAAAAAAATGAGGTTTCCAAGCACGCTTAGTCTAGACATCGTTCTTCATTATTCGATCACACAAAATACAAAAACTAAGCGATATGTGGATCATTAGTCTAAATTATTCCAGTCAATCCACTTGCTTGTTAGAATGTTATCGACAGGTGTGGTGCAAATTAAATCCAGCAAACAAAACCATTTAAAAGCAATAAAATTTTTTCCCAACAACTTTCATTGTATTTTTCAGTTGCCCAGCTTGTAAAGCAAGTCTTTATCAACGAACTACGCACTATCGGCAACGACATGAATGCATCCAATTTTTCGCCCAAGTTTATGGATATAATCCACTCCTTTTTACTCAACTTCGCGTGGATTCGGTACTATTCAAAACACGTCTCCCAGCCAATCATCAAAAATGTTTCAAATATGTTTAAATTTGTTACGATTTCATTTTTTATGCATAGAAATGTGTCCATTACTTTGCAAATTATAGTTGTTAGGATAACGCAGTTACAAAATCACTTAGAATTAAAATACCGTGATTAATGAAATCTACTTTAGGCATTTGTTCAGTCAAGGGTTTGCTGGTTGACATTAACGCATTCTTGCCTCATAGGAAAATTTTTTGATACAATTTTCAATACAACCTGACCAATTTCACGTCTCATTAAGATCAATAGACCACATGTTACAGAAAAACAGTTCTAACATGAAAAATTAATAATGGGTTCCGACTAACTTCTGCTTCAAGATGTCAATGCAAACATCAGTAAAATTCAAGTTGTTGGAACATTCATACATCAGTAGTCTAAGCTGTCATGTTATTTGTTTTGTTGTTTATATTTTTTGTATGATAACAATCTTGAAATGGGTATGACTTGAATATCTGTAATTCAGAATGTAATACATAATGTCCTTCCAACAATTAACCGATGCTCCCGATTTCGCTGAAAACTGGAAAGTAATCTTAGCATCAACAAAGTAATACATTCGTTGTATAATATTTATTGGATGGTGAGTTAAACAAAATATTTTTGATATTTATACCACAGGTTCCTCCACCGTAATCTAGAGAAACCCGCATATGTCAGGATGTATTTACATTGCAGTCGGAATCATTTTGGAATTCTATGAGAATTAGTTTGGAAGCATTCAAACCTTGACTTTTTTTTCACCGGCAAATTAGAAGTACCCCGAATTGAACACATTCCGGTCTGATATGGCTAAGTGTTGATTTTCAGTAAGTGAATGTGTTTATTTGGACGTAATATACAATACAAAAAAAAAAATTCGGGAAAAGATGTTGACAGCAAAAGAAGAAGTTATTTGTTAGACATTTCGTCAGAACACTGAAAATAAAGACTTAGTCATAGAGGTATAAAACACGAAACAGCAAAGTTATGGTTGAATGCAGGGTGGGAGGAATTCATTTTTATTTAATAGAAAAATTCACTTTTCTATTAATGAAATACCGAAAGCTGAGATACAGTATGGAGCATCGGAAGCAGTCTTTTGCCCAACAGAGGGACCTTGCATTGCATTTATCAACATGATTCAGAAATATGAGAAATTTTCCTTCCTTCCGATATATCAGGGAGACAAATATTATTGCACATATTAAATTACTACCAACGATAATGCCGAAAGTCATACAATGATTCTGGTAACACAATGCAAATCATCCTAAAAACTAAGCACAAAGGCGCAACTGAAGATAAAACAAAGTGGCTGCATGCTTATAAAGCTGTGCGAAGGAAAAGAGTTAAAAACTAAAATAGGAAAATTAGTCTTAAAATTTATACAGAATACGGCCCCTAGAGTGAAACTCCCAGAAAAACAGCACAAAAAAAGTGATGTCTTCGGAAAGGTAATCTTTGTATAAACAAGAGTGCTTGAGAATAAAATAATATTCACTTCAGTGACTATTCTAAAATTTCAGACGCAAAAAGAGAATAAGATATCAAAAACAAGATAACGGCAATAAAGGATACGAACTTATGCTCGATCCCACTTTCACTTCAAAAATGTTTTTTAAATCAGAAGATGCTAAACAAAATAGTTTCCTACCTTCAATTTTAACAGATGATACAATGTATTCTTTGTGATAACAAATCCGCTCTAACAAAAGTTCCTACTGCAAAAAGAAGTTAAATTTTGGAAATGCGAGTAACAGCAGTCAGTTTAGAAACTCCTTAACTCCACAAACAACTGATAAAAACCAAAGTAAATGACAAATAAAAAAATCAGAAAAGAAGGGAATCAACCAAGTGGCACACGCGATGTGAACGTGATTATAACACATAAAAATGTTGAACTCAGTGAAAACGAAATAGGGTATAAAAACCACCGTACACGATCGACAACTTTTTCCAATAAAACGCAAATATTTAATTGGACTTAAAACAGAAACTTTAGTCAGATGAATGGAACAAATCATATAACACTGAAGAAAATGATAGAGTGATAAAAACACGACTATAATAAGCCTAAAAAATATATACACGAATAAACGTATACGTGTATACATTATTTTATAACAGATTTAAAAATATAAACACACTTATGGACAAATGAGACAATGAGCTAACAAACAAATAAGTTATTGCAAAAAAAACGTTATTAAATTTAGATGTGAACGTAAAGTTTAAAAATTAAGAATATATTATGAAGAAAAGATTATTCTCTTGTTCAATTTGCTGCAAACTGTTTTTCAAGTTCCTCGACACTAATACAATTAGCAGTTGGCGGAAGACGCGATATTATAGAAGGAACATCACTCGCTGTCGTTGTCGTTTGTAGAGATGAACCTTCATAATACAGGTCAGAAATTTTAGTTACTCAAAGAACAATTCATGGAGACCTATTCAGCTTAGAATGCAAAAAAATGTCATTAAGTACTAGATGATGATACCGAATGAAAACTTGAAAAAAACCAGACATCATATTAACTTTTTGACTAGACAGCTTAAGAATGACAGGAGTTCCCAAGAAAATAGAAACAAACCAGATATTAAATACAATGTTTTACTTTAATTGCTCACTAGATGCCCACGCTATCTGTTCTTAATTATTTATTCAACTGCTATATGGCTGGCAAAATATGGCAAAATATTCTATGACATGGAAAAAAATATCATAAGCTAATTTTCGTTAATACATACTTTGACAAGGCTCCCTGTTTGGTAGCTGTAAACCTCTGTTCGCCGGTACACCCGCTGATTGCAGCAGTTTCTCTAGAGGATTCTGATATTTATATTGTATTAACGATGGAGGCGGCTGAGTGTTTTGTGGCACTGGAACTGGTGCTGTCGTCGCCACTGGTTGTATAGGTACCAACGGTGCTCCCACCTAATGAAAAAATTACAAAGAAATATGCTTGAGCCACATTTTGGCTGGAAAGTGAAATATTGCAGAGGTTTTTTATGACATCTAATCACGGTCTATTTCTAACAAGTAATTGGAAAATATAATTTCACCTGACTTTTTGTGAACATAAAAAATTTCTTCTCATCGATGAAAGTAAGGAAAATAAAAATGACCGTCTCCTGCTACTGGAAAAAGGAGTCTAGTGCAAAATAAAAAGAAATTTCTAAAAAAAAAAAGCAAACATGATGAGGATGAGGAGCTACTGGAACACTGGGCAAAGCTGCAAAAGCTGCTGCCTGTTGCGATAGGAATCGTGCTCGAATGACCTGTGCTTGATTCAAATCACCACGCATCATCGCAAGTGCATATTGTCGTTGCTGTTCTGCATGAGCTGCTAATGCTTGTGCACGTACTGAAGCTGTCATTTGAGCGTTCGATTGCCAATTATTCAATGGTAAACTATTTTGCATTGCTGCAAGTACTTGAGCATACTGCTGCTGCAAAGCAAGTCTTGTCATCAAATTAGCTGCATTTTTCGATGTCATGTTTCCAACCACAGCGTCTCCAGCAACTAAAAATTTAAGATTTAATCCTTTTCTTCAAATGTTAAAAATTTGCATTTTTTTCCAATCTACTGAGGCGTAACAGTAACAATGACCAAATATTTCCTACGCACTGTCGAAAGTCTGATCAAGCAAGATAACATTCGAATCTCACACAGTAGAAATCCTGTAATAGAATTCCATTAATAATTTCCACTCAGTTACGGAAAGTTTTGAAACTAACGTTTATGAGGTACGTTGAAATGCTCTGGCATAAGATTTTGTTTGACAGCGCTATAGTGCGTGGAAGATATGGGCACGTTAGAATGACGAAGTTTTTCTTCCACTGTCGCAGATGTATTATTGTTTTTGGTCATTTGACGCATCACCGATGTTGGCATAAATGAATTCGGAAGTACGCCCGTTGCAGAAGTCCGTGCTGGAGTCGAAGCAACGGCAGTTACCGATCGTGTTTGCGTTGATTGTGGCACTGTTCCATTTCCCATCATATTTGCCAATGCATGCCTATGGGCCAAACATAAAATGTAGCGATAAGAAATAAGGTAAGCACAATAGAAGTTCTATTTTGACTTCTGAATCATCATTATGAACTTTGTATTACACGAAATACTACTTGTGTAATAAAATGATTCCAAGATTAACTGCACACATTAGTCAATGATGCGACTCTGGAATTCATTGAGCATATACCACCGAAATTAAGCTCTCATTTAATTTACTTGCCGGTAGCAAATTTAGTAGTAAAATAATTAAAATAAAAACTATGACCTACCTCAAAACAGTATTGTCGACCGCTTGTGCACTTGAAGCAAGCGCCGACCGCTGATTAGCAGCAAGTGCGTGCAAAGCGGCTGCTTTCTCATATTGTGAACGAAGAAAAGCTGCATGAAGAGTGACATCAGAGAAAGGCGGAGGTGCCACAGGATGAGAAGATGCTTGCGAATTCAATGGAATTCCCGGCAGATGTATTGGAGTCAAGGAAATTTTGGGTGGTAGTGTTAAATTATCTTCGTTGCGTGAAACGTCATCCGCTGTTCCATTTTGCAGGCGTGCAAATTTATTCAGCTTATTCATGAGATGTGCTTGCTGGTGTGGATCGCCAAGTGGATTCCCTTTTGTTGTCTGTCATTGTTGAAAAAAATTCAAATACGACCAGTTTGGATAAATAAGCAATGAGCAATTAAAATAAAAATAAAAATGAAAAGTTTGCGGAAAGTTAGAATGTCTCAATAGTTAATTATATTCAAGAAATCGATGCAAACTAATAGAATACTATAAAATTTTTATCGTCGTCGCAAAACATGGAAATTATAGCTGTATATGTCTTTAAACTAAAGCAATAGACTCGATTTTATTTACTGAGATATTGTGTAAACAAAATAATTTAGAAAAATAGGAAAATAAACTAACTTGATTTAAATACGACTGTCGTGAATTGGATGGGAGCTGTTCGCTGGTTATTACGTTTCCAAAACCATCAGCACCAGCAGATAGAGTGGATGAATTTCCAGGAATCGATTCCTTCTGGAAATTACGTTCCAAATCTTCAACTCTCAGAACTCCTTGTACTGATGGTGCAACATGCTGAAAAGTAAAATATTAGCAGTCGATTAAATTACGCTACATATTTCAATTAAATTTAATTGTTTAAAAACGCAAAATGCGCAAAAAATTAGCAAACCGGTTCTGGAATAAATTCCGAGTGAAAAGGTCGTTGACAAGTATTTGAAAATATCTTATTGAGAACAGAAATCGATGGTGAAGCCTGCAAAGGATCGGAAATTGAAGTTGATGAAGAAATAGCATGCCTCTGCTGTGAAGATTCGTTTCTGTTAACGCATGAATTATCTGAAAACAAAATTTATTATAAACACATAGGAGGAAAATAAAAAAGCGTAGCTGTAAATTTAGAAAATGTTTCTTTATCATTAATCCAATAATTACCGGAATTCTCATATTTAGTAGTAGCAAAAAAGCGTGACAATCTGCTGCCGGTTGGTTCTTTCATCTCCGGCGATTTAATCTCATTCTGAAGAAAAACCATTAATATTGATACTAAAATATGTTGATGCAAAGGTCACAATTACGTAGCTTTATTTAGTTTGAAGAAACTTGGCTTTATAAATAGAAAGGCGCTAAGCTACCACGACGATTACAGAATTTGATACTCGGAAATAAAGCAACCAATATCCGAAAATGAAGCAAAGTGGTTTACAAGAGAGTAATACGTTTTTTTTGCGCAAACGACAGCACGAAAAAAAGAAATGCAAAAATTTAATCCAAAACAAATAAAAACGGACACAGCATGCAACTGCATTTCAAAAAACCAAGAAGATAACTTTTAACATCGTTAAATGAGTCTTCTTTACAAATATTCTCAAGATCTTTACCTCTTTCAGTGAGTCCAAATCGGCATCACCAAGAATACCCATAATTGCAGCAAATTCCGCATCGGAATTTGGCAATTTACCATTTAGTAAGGGTACCGATGTCAGTGAATTACTGTTATCCGCCATTGCAAAAGAGAGACTGCGATTCCTTAATGGATCACCGTCACTGTTTTGATTGCAAGATGAAATCGGTTTACCAACTGAGGATAAGCTTAACTCGCTATTATCAATCTGGGAAGATGGTCTCCAATTTATCAAATCAGTCTTCTCATCTGTTAAAATTTCGTTTGGTTCACTTGTATCACTTTGCTGTGCCATTCTCATTTGATGTCTCTTCGATCTTTGAGAGAAATCACCTGCAAATTAGAAACATGTCATAAAAATCAATTTTATTTGCTAAAAAACAAAAAGAAGAGAATGAAAGCTTAATGAAATTATTTCGTAATTACACCATCAAACCTGTGGATCAAATCAGCGCGTGGTATTCTTCACTGATAATGGCGCAACACGTTATATATCATGATTACGCAGTTCCCCCCCCNAAAAAAAAAAAAAAACACTGCGTAAAAAAGAAAAAATTTCCTAAGACATGAGAAATAATTTTGCACAGATTGTAGGGCGAGTAACAATATACTTCACTTACTTCTAATCTTATTATCGTCATCAAAACCACGCAGTTCAATCATATCATGCATTGATGTTGGACCATCGTTGAGCCATTCTGGCATTTTTTCGTCCGCTGTCATTTCTGTAGACTTGCCCCTCTAAAATATTTCTTACACAACCAATAACAAAAATACATTTGTCGTAATCGATTATGAAACATTTATAGGCAAATATTTTGAAGAATCGATCTGGCAAAATGTTTACCTGTTAGGTGTAAAAAAATGACTCCTTAACTGAATAACTTGTGAACCATATATATTATCATAGGAACCACATGACTACCTGGTTTTCTTTCTGATAATTTGGCTTAAATGATGTATCGGTCGAACGCCAGTTTCCAGCGCTACTCGGCAAAGTACCATTTTGTTGACGAGTCCTTATAAATGAAGACTCACTGCTTCCCACGTTTTTGTGCTAAAATGTGACTATTTTGTATAAATTACCTAACCATAAAAACTGACCATCCTAAATGAGCTACAAAGAACAATGGGGTATATTATTATTTATTTCAGACCTTAAAATTACTTGAGATTTATGTAACGGATAAAAAACATTTAGAAATTCTTGTGAAGACTAATTAAATACCAAACTTACAAATGATGCCTTGTATTCCGTCCCGGAATTTTTCAGCTGAAAACCAGCACCACTTCGCCAACTGGCCTTAGTTGCACCGAGTCTTTCCGTCTCTGCTTCTAATGAACAGTAATCAGTATTATTATTTTTTTTTATTTACAAAATTTCGGAGGATCTTTTTGAAAAACTCTCAGGAAGCGAGTATCTCAAAACACGACAAAAAACCAATAATAAAAAAATGTCCTATAAAATGGATCGATTTTACAGATATGGAATCATGTAAGAAAGTGTTCTTTGTGAAAAGTTACAACGTAGCACAGAAAAGTAACATACTACCTTCTTTTTGTCAGTCATAGAAAACATTCTTTATAGTAATGCAAGCGCTGTCTGAGAAACCTATAGAGAAATGAGACTATGATCTCCCCAGTAGTAATAATCTCATCCAAAATATGAATATGTAACTAACTGTACAGCAATAAATATAGCTGATATACTACTGAAAAGATATTACCGTTCTTCACCGGCGATGCACCACGACATCCCGAAGAAAAAGCTCGCCTTTGTGGAGAAAGAACGGTTGTGTCTCCTTCCAGTGCTTCGACCTTCAGTTTCTCCTTTCTTTTCATATTCGTATTCGGACGATTTTCCACTCCCTCACAAATCCAACGATATTCGAGCCATTTTTCCGGTTCGAAGCTCCCCTCATCGCTGAAAATGGATGACAAATAAATGATTATTAGTACATGAAACGTATTTTTCACACCAAAAAAACCAATATTAATAAGATATCAATTAAATGTTTAGACTGTGTCTGGTTACGTGATTGTAAATAGAATTTAAATAATATTCATAACTTTAACAAATTCAACAAAACAATTTACAAAATGGACAGAATTTACTGGCTTTCATAACCATATAGCTGACAAAGAGACTGCTCGCAGACCTAGCTGGTAATTTTGTCAATTAGGATTTATTTACCTAAGCATGATCATTTACTTACAAAATTCCTCTTATCAACTGATTTAAACAAAATAAACTGAATCGATAAATTTTCAATTTCATTCTAGACAAAAACAAAATTTTAGCGACATAGAAATGGAAAAGGTTAACTTATCAAATTCGGTGGATAAATATTGAGGACGTATTCTACTCAACGGCAGATCTCTCATGTTTAGCATTTCTTCACGGGTATACCGACAAACACCATGAATATCATTTTGCGCATCATTACATTCGCATTTTTCATAACTACTAGCAGAATTCTTACGCAACATGAACTCCTAAAATATGATAAACATGAAAAAATAAACCGATAAATAGAATGCATGGTACGATTTGAAAGTGCCAAAATATGTACCAAAATATTAAAAAAAGTAAAATGTATTAAAATGTAAAATAATAGGAACTGAACAAACAACATAACATTATAAAATATTGTCATCATCAAGAACAGTAAATTTTTGGCGTGGTCATGTATATATTCATGTAACAGCTTCCGGACACACACCGTCTTTTGAAAGATTTTTTTCAAAAACTAGTCCAGATCCTCGCACTGTTTCTCCGTCGAATCCTACATAAAATCCATAGTATAAAACCTACTTTTCTTCTACTTTTTTGCAGTGCTAGCTTTTCTGAACGTGGAAAACCACTGAACCAATAATACGATTCAACGTTATCCTTAATATATATTTGCAAACAAAATACCCGCAGAAAAGCTCAACCAGTGCATATAAATGGAAATAATATCCCAACATTGTGAACAACCATTTTTATGTAATTGTTACAAAAATATGAAAGTGAAAAGTGCAAAAATATCCCGGATGATTATCTTGCCATTAGATTCTATCAATTCATTTAGATATTTTCTACATTTCCTATCCGATGAAACATAAATGACATGATGACTCGATATAACCTTAAAAGAAAGATTCTTACATGTAAAAGAAGCTTTTCCATACGAGTAGTCTCAACGTATAAATAAATAGAAATGAATAGATAATCTATTGAGATATAAAACAAAATTCTTTAGTTTTTAATGCTATTAAATCCTACCAAGTTATATAAAACAATTTATGCTTGAAATCTCTGAAATATGGATGAAGAACACGCAATTTGCATATTCATATAAGATAGCCATTATCTTCTTAACTCTGCATCAACTCAAAATCTCATCTTAAAAATAGATACGCCCATTAATAAAAGTGTAAATGAACAAATTATATGACAGCACCAGATCTTCATTTGAATGGTTCACGTATTCGGGCGTTGAAATTAGTTGCCTGATGCCATTTTACTCCGCTTAATGCCTTGTCGGAAACAATACATGCTAAGAAGCTATCCCCATCACATAGTACCCATATATTTCAAGCCTGAGATAAGAACAGGAAGGTCCAAGTGGAAAAGGACCGAGTGACCACATCCCCACATAGGTATCTAATGATTACGCGGCCTGTGCCTCTTAGTACGAGCAATTTCACACCAATCTTGCATGGTCGGGTGACTCAGGGAGACGGGTTGGTATGTCAAGTCCAGCATTGAATTTAGGCATTGCTGATTGAGTTGAGCTGAATGCAGTGCGTGTTTTTGCGTGAGGTGGTGTTGTTGTACTGGGTGTTTACAGCGTTATTGTTCTCACATCATCTCCTAGAGAGCATACTTATGGAAGTCATCAAATTGATATGGGAAACATTATTTGATGATTCGGGAACAGCAGTGAACAGTTAAAAGTACTTCAGATCGTGTTAAGATGTACAAGTTATATATCAGAGTAATGCCGATAAGATTAGTACTTGTTATGCAAGGACATGCGAAGATGGTAAAGGTTACATGCTATTATATGAGAATGGCAGAATATATCGCTGTGTCAAGTCATCATAGAGATGGTAATTGAAATGATGTAGGATTATCTGGAAGTTTCAAGTAGGCTGGAAGAGCGCAATCATTTATCAGTTATCGGAGATCCTGCTTGAATTTGACACTGTAAAAAATCTCTAACGCATTTCCAGTTTTATGCGCGTTACCATATTATTTCCTACTCCGTTTTATTTCAGTGTTAGTTTGTTGCTCGACGAGCTTGCTGCAAGCACTCAGAAACAAGCTTAGGATGGCGGTTGGAAAAAACAAAAAGATAGGTAAGAAAGGTGCGAAAAAGAAAGTTGTTGATCCATTCACACGTAAGGAATGGTATGATATCAAAGCACCGTCAATGTTCAATGTGCAGCATATTGGGAAAACGTTAGTGAACCGTACGCAGGGAACGAGTAAGTTTGGACATCGTTAGTGGTGCTATTATAGGTTTAGGCAAAAAAAAGGCAGGAATTTCTTAGTTATCTAAAAATATCACGGCAAGGAATTATGAAGATTTGACGAATTTTTACATTCGTCTCATGTGATTTTCATCTTTTGGAATCAATTTTGCTGATTATTAAAATGGAACATACGTATTATTGGTATGATTTCTTAATGATATTTTTTTATAAAGCTTGAAATTTGATATGTGAGACTTACCTGAAGCAAGTTTTTGTCTGTCGTTTGCCGTGATTGAGTGCAAGAGATGGATGAGCGCTAATTTCCTGGGTTGTTTCTATGTATACATTTCTTCAATAGTATTTTATTTTAGAGAAATTATTGTTGATTAAACCTTGTTACGTGAAATAACATATTGTCTGGGCTTTATTGTAAAATTAAGATATTTTAGCTTTAACTTTTGCTATTCAAGCAAAAAAAGTAAGGGATTCCATCGAAGGTTTTCGCGTAGAATATTAACAGGTGATATATAATTCCAGAAATTGCCAGCGAAGGTTTAAAGGGGCGTGTCTATGAAGTATCACTTGGTGACTTGAACAATGCTGAATCGGAATTCCGAAAGATGCGTTTGATATGTGAGGATGTTCAGGGTCGAACTTGTCTAACCAATTTTCATGGCATGCGACTTACTCGTGATAAGCTTTGCTCCATTGTCAAAAAATGGCACGTAAGTGGTAGTTTATTAAGAAAGTTTCCTTAAAATCACTGTTTTGAGTATTACAATTGCGCAGTTTATTTTTGTCGAATTTCTAAATTTGTTCCTCTATGATTATTTTTGGCATTCTCATTTCAACTTAATATTCTGTTATAAACTGAAGTAAAAATATATCGACTTGTTAATCAAATGGAAAGAAATTCTAGACTCTCATTGAAGCTAATGTCGCAGTTAAGACGTCAGATGGTTATTTGTTGCGACTTTTCTGCATCGGTTTCACGAAAAAGAATGCAAGACAGTTGAAGAAAACGAGTTATGCGAAGTCGTCAAAGATTAGACAGATTCGGGCTAAAATGGTAGAATACATGCAGAAAGAAGTAAGTAAAGAGATCATATCATCTCTTGGTGCATGCTGAAGGATAGATATTCTTAGTAATCTAAAAAAATATCGTGGGGGAAGACTGTGTTTGTCTTTGATAAATTTCGATGATCCTGTTTTCATTATATCCCAATGCTAGTCAATTGATAGGATTTTTGGAAAGTTTAAAATATTAAAATTCAGGTGCAAGGCAGTGATCTAAAGGATGTGTGCCATAAACTGGTGCCGGATTCGATTGGGAAAGATATCGAAAAAGCATGTTCTTATATCTACCCGTTGCAAGATGTATGCATTAGGAAAGTCAAAATACTGAAGAAACCGAAGTTCGAAATTGGACGTCTTATGGAAATGCATACCGATGTTAGTACATTTACGAGTGCGGAAGGTGAAAAGATAGAAAGACCAGATGATTATGAGCCTCCCGTTCAGGAATCCGTATAAAATTTTTGTTATGTTTATAATGTTATTTGCAGTTTTCGAAATAAAATCCTTTTGTTGGAATTGCCGAATTGCCGCACGGGTAAAATTACTGACTGAACGTGAAGAATTATGCTAGTTAAGATATTAATTGTCAAATGTACTTCTTGGTTCAACGATTGCTGCAAGGGAGGACTGTGTGATGTGGGCAGCTTTAGAACATTAGAAAGATACCGAGTATCGTTAAAAGTTGGCTTCCCAGCAGCGATTGCAGCGCAAGCAGCGTAGTCAATTTGTAAATTAAAGTAAAAATAAATCGCAAATATGGAACGTTACATAAAAATGATTACAAAGTTGAAAGAGGGGAGATAATGGCAACTCATAACAAAGTACTGTGGGTAGGATTACATTTGATTATTTGCTGACTCATTCGGATAACAATGTTTTAAACGAAGTTCCTTCATTGTTGGTTGGCGTGCTATAGTGCTAATTCTGGCTAAGCCGCTCATTGCGCGCGGCTTCACTTCTATTACCAATTATATCACAAGTGCTTGGTTTAATCAATTTGTGGAAAGGGATTGATTGAACTTACCGTCTCACATAGCATAGTGACAAGAAAATACGCAATTTTATATGCGAGCACGCATAAAATTTGCGCAAGAAGTCCGAATCAGTCAGCATTAGATAACAAGCACAGAAGTCATTTTACCAAGTTTCGCATTTCATTCTGAATTCAAAATACACTGCAGTCATAACAGTGTAGGATGTACATTCATATTTATTTATTTGTTTACCTATTTATTAACTTTTTAATTGAGTACCAATATATTTCAAAGTATCCTGCAATATTCTGCAAACTGCAACTGCCACGAAGTATTTTTTCTCTAATGGGAATGAAATAATTTTTGCCTTCCCTAAAAAAAGCTGTTCCTCGAAGAAAAAATAATTCAAATGGACTAAAAGGAGATTGTAATTGTAACTTAACAACGAATACGCCATATTTTCTACCTGCTTTACTATTTTCAAACTATTAGCGCATAAGGTATACAAAATAAATAGGCCGTTAAAGTATTCGGAATTGCTATCTTCTGAACCTCACGTGAATAAGAGGTACAAATTTAAAATTTCAACTTCTATTTCTTTATAATGCGTCATTTGGAAATATTCTTGAGGTTTTCCAAATGCAAAAGCACATTGCATGTGATCTTTTAGAGATATCATTCTGGTGATTTATGAACATATTGAAAAAAAAAATCTTACTCTAAACATTTTTTTCCTCCACAGAAATTAGTTTCGAATGTGAAACAATTCAGTGTCTTACCGTAAATTGAAAACGAATTTTACTTATGAAAAGCTGCATGCAATATTTGTGGATATGGCACATAAAAGAGGAATGGAAGAAAACAAAATAATGTGTATGATGTTTCACACTGTATCATCACATGAACCACGTACTTTCATATTCAGATTATTTCTTTGAAGACATTTTGGATAATCTACAAAAGAAAGACGCATTTTTTCTCTTCAAATAGTTCCTTACTCGTATAAAGCTAATTTCACATAAAAATTTTGTATAGGTAAGGAAATACTTGTAATAAATAAAATATAAGGAAAAATATTTGAAGAAAAAAAGAACAAAATTTATTCGAATGTTGATTGATCAATAAATAAATGAAAAATGAAAAGTTAACACAGCATAATTGATAATAAGCTTCGCATAACCATTGATAAATTTCGTTTTTCTTAAACATGTAGTAATAAATTGAAGAAGTGAAAAACAGAAGGGATGATGAATAATCAAAGGATACGAATCACTGTCCATCCAACACTGTCCCTGTCACTAATCTAAAGAACAGAAAGATGGACAAAACTTTCGATCTTCCTATGTTTATAATAATTGGAACGATTGAATCAAATAATAAGCACTGAGAATAATGGCTTGATTCCATTCCAATGTATATCATCCTGTTTCGCATATCAGTGATTGATGATAATGCAATGATTATTAATTAACTGATGGTGTCAAATCGATACGATAGTACGAGTGACTTTTGAACTATTTAACCGAAATAAGATGAAGCATCATGCAATTCCCTGTTTTTTCTTATGTTCCTTTGGTTTCAGATGTTCTTTCTTCATTCCTCAACATTTATATCAGACGGTCGAATTCTAAATACTGTCACTGATGATTCTATTGGTGAGTTACTTCCACCTAGGTCTTGATACGGTACCAGTTTTAATTAGTAAAGGTCTCGAAGCGGTACTACAGGAATCGGTACGTTTCATTGTCCTATTATGAGGATTCGCTATTGCTACGGGTGTTGAAGTTGGTATTTGTGGACCAGATTTGGTTGTTGCTTTTATAGGCCGTCGTGATGTGGAAGGTGAGGAACGTGGTGGTGTTGACCGTACTAATGATGTTGCATTAGTTACTGTCAATGTTTGGTGCGGTATCGATTTTGGACGTGATACAGTGGAAGTTGACTTCGAGGATGATGAAGGATCATGATTTGATGAAGTTGCAGGATATGCGGTATTATCATTAGAATGCGCTACACTCTTTGTAGCTGCTGAAATTGATTTAGCATGATTTAATCGACTCCCCCAAAATAATTGTGAGCCAGCATTCTGCTCTTGGCTAGCCAAGATAACTAACCCATTAGTAGGACGTGTATGCTGTGATAAATTTTCGATTAATGTATTCGATGTACATGGTATTTCAGTATCCGCAGTACAACTTAATTTTTTTGTCATATGTATAGACGTTGTATTTTTTGTAGACGTGATGTTATATAAACTGGTACCAGCTGTACCAGAACGTGCTTTTCGAGAAGGCACGGTTTTGGAAGTTCTTGAAGAAGCTATTTCAGATTTACTCGTTACAGCTATTCCGTTACGTCGTTTTATTACAGCTTCTTTGGTTGTAACAGTGGTAAATGATTTTCCAGATTGCACTGATGGTTTGGAAGAGATATTTTTCAATTTATCATATGTCTGTTCTGATATTCCAACTTTTCGACTTGTTGACGTAGACGTAGCAGGAAGTTGTATTGTAAAAGGAGGTGAATTGTTGACAGATTGTTGTTCTGATGTAGATTTACGAGATATTGAAGTTGTAGATAATTTGATTTGATATGGTGAATTTTGTGAATTTTCACTACAAGCTTGTGCAGAAGATGTCTTCTGAACTGATTTTAATGTTCGTACGCTACGTATTGTCTTGGATAATGGAATTTCGGCAACTCTTTCCACTGCAACTCGTTGCTTCATTTTATCCATCGAAGAAAGTATCGTTTGATCAATGAATGATGCATGTTGCGCAGTACCTGTTGAGTTTTTATGTTTGGGAATTATTTCTGTTGATAGCGCTCTTTTATACCCTTCCATTTTTGATGATGTATTTTCTGGAACAAAGGTTTATTACATTAAATAAAATAGGATTGCATTTTTTGATACAGATATTATTACATTTCAATACGGATACAGTTTCATGGTACAGTAAATTTATAATGATTTATAGAGAGAAAAATATAGATTTTAATTAATTCTTTCAAAATCAATTTATCTCAAATGATTTGCTAACCTGTAGAAGTTGAGAATGTTGGAGTTATTTCAACTAATTCATGAAACACTTCTTTGTTACACTGAAAAAACAAATGTAGTAATTCGGATAGTAATTTAAATTAGAAAAAGAAAGAGGAGAAAAGATTTCTAGACTGATTGAACGTTATGAAAAAAGAAAGCTGGCCCCACCTGTTTTACAGCTTCTTTTTCCACTCTTTCAGCTACCTCCAAGAATTCATCCAAATTCTGACTATGCCTTATCAAATAAGCATCACTTTTATTTCGTGATTGTTTTCGCAACTTCATGATTGGCGACATGTCATCTCCCTATAATTTATCACAAAATTAAAATACATTCCCTTAGTGCTATCATAATTTTGTCAATACAGTTCGTCTTAAAAAGTAGTCGCTTACCTCATCAGGTACTTCATCCCTTAGCTTACGAACTGTTCGATGGACAATTTTACGATCTTTTTTTTCATCACTCGATGATTTCATCACATTGCTTGTCTGACTGACATTTGAACGAAGTCGAGAGTGTCGGATATCCGAATGTGAACTGAAAGTTCATGAAATCAGCATGAAGATCTTTTCATATTGCTAATATTTTTATATTGCTAATTGGAATGGATATGGCTACTATCGACTGATATTTTGCGATTTGGGATTTAAACCGGATGTTTTAAAAGTGATCAAGAAATGGACGTCACATTTATTTCCATTACTGTGAAGGTGTTGAAGATAGTTCAAGGAGGAATTTAAAATAATGAAATTGTATCGGTTTTGTTCGACTGCAAGATTCAGAATTATCAGTTCAAATGTTCAAATAGGTGCGATAGGTATAATAATAAGTACCAGTAATACAAATTAAAAATGCGCTGGTATTACTTAGCATTCTAAGAACCTTTACATATTGAAATCTTAACTTACTTGCTTTCCAGAAGTTCTTCCAATGTTCTAGTATTGTTATTGTTATTGTTGATTTTCTCTGACAAATTAGACTTTGAAGAACTATCCGATACGATGTTTCCCCCGTGGCTTTTTTCTTCCAAACGTTTTAGTCTCCTTGTGCGTTTTTCATTATCCTGCATGGAATGATGGAATTCAAAAATTCAGCTTTTCGAAAAATACATAAAAAGTGCGGAAACACATGCAAAAATGGAAAAGTTGAATTCAACATTTTGTTCCGTTCACCAGAATGTATGAGAATTTAACGGATACGCAGCTAAAATATTCACTAATTACTCCCATGCAGTGATTCTGAGAACTAAACTGTTGTCTTTGGAGAGCTGGACAAGTTTTTAAATGGAGAGTAAAAAGCTTAAAATTTTCTCTTTCCATGTGATTGCAAATATTCAAGCGAAGTATTTGCAATCAAATGGAAAAAGAAAATTTTAAGTAAATAATTGCGCCAGTTAGAAATCTCAATTCTTAAAAGGCTGTTAAATTAAATTCATAATATTTTATCATTCTTCTTAAAATTTTTAAGTCAGATAAAATCTTTTTAGTAAAAAGATAATTATAATTACTGAAACAAATATTGTTATCAAAGTATGAATGAAAACGTACACTTAGTGCATCTCGAAGCCTACAGATGAATGTGGACAGTATTTTGAAGCATTCCTCAATTTTGAACTGCTTCTCATCTTCACAGAAATATGCTGCCAAATAAGAAATCAACTGATCCATTTGTTCTAATTGCTCTTGCATATTTTCCATATGCTCTTGTGAATTCTTTAAAATTTGAAGGGTTATATAATTCAGTTATTCTTAACTGTAATTTTATTTTGTACACTTCCACTTCTAATGTAAGAAGTGCAATAAGTTAAAAATAACACAGTAAAATAATTTAAATATGAGATGAGTAATTGATATTTTCTGAAAAGGGAATTTTAATCCCCTCACATATGCGAAAATTAAAATTTTTAAATTTTCAAATTGATAATTGCACAGAGATGGAAAAACACACCATGAAATGTTGGTTAGTATTTTCAAAAAAATGGATATCAGTTCGTTTTCTTACTTCACTGCTCACACTGATCAATTTATCACTGATTGTCCGAACATCACTTCGGATTGATTCTAATGACAGCCTGAGAATTTTCCGAAAAAATTTACTTGCATCAAACAGACTAATAATTCATGCGATTAAAGTATAAAAAAAACTCGTTGATTCAAATCCGAAATTTTAAATTAGAATTTTTATTCTAATCACAAAGCTCAATAAGAAATAATAAACAGTGATGCAATTTCAACAATTTTATGTGTTTGTACTATAGAATTGTTTAAATTTGAGCTAACTGAATTTGGATTGTTGAACGGAATTTTCAATTTCTTTTTCTGTAAAATCCAACAATATTACCTTGCAGCAACTGGCACCGTTAACAGTTCATTCAGTAGTTTTTCCGCACATTCACGATCTTGCTGGAAATAAATATGTTTGTATTCAAAAATGCAAACAGTTTTGCAATTCAAGCAAAAATTAGCGAAGAAATATCTTCGAACTGTTTGAATTATCAAAATATCTTCCAGGTTGACACTTTTATATGTGGGATACTTTTGACATAAATATATGCCTCATGGATCGCTTGTAAATATATAGGTTAATTGTGTTCGAAATTTGCCTCGTTTCTCTCAATTCCGATTTATGATTCCAGCATTTTATTCGGCTATCATTATGAATGATTACTGAAAAAAAATATGGCTAACCATTGCAATAAAATGGAGAAGTGTGATACTTTTTTGTGCTCCTTTCACATCCAAAATTCTCCAAAGTGAATTGAGTTTAAATCCGGCCGCATTACCAAATGTTGCATTTGCATTCAAAAAATTACCAATCTGTACAAGCATGCAAAAAATCTTTGGCAATGCTTTGCTTTCTTTAATTTCTGAAATTTTAAACAAAATACTCCACTTTTCGATATACATAACTATCTGAAAATCTTAAGTAATATCCTGTCCTTTCATGTATTTGCATAAATTTGCGTTAAAAAAAACAATTATCCATCCACTTTTCTCCGCATCTTTGCTTTATTCAAATACTTTTAACAATCACATATTTTTTTAAAAAAATCCAGCTTCTATTGTCCTCTCAAGAAAATCGAAATTATTTGCACATGTTTTTCTTAATTTCTGAAATTAACTACTCCTTAACATTTTTAAATTTAATAAATTAAATAATCGATCAGATAATAAAGACAAACCTATACAACTGTTAATTACGGTATCAATATGAGGTAGCAAAGTTTCGAAAGCAATATCCAATTCTTCTTTCAAAATCATACAATCTAAGATAAGCTTATAGTCTGACATGTTTAACAGACTTAAAAAGAATTGTTCTGCGATACCAAGTTGCGATTGGTCTCCACTAAATCCTCGTAAAATTTCAATCTGCAATCACAGTTTATACTTAAGTCTAATTTAAAAAAAAATCTATTCATAATGTTATTCATCGAATAAATAAAATACATTTTCATGAAATTTAAAGAAATGTACACCTCCTCACTGTCCGGTAAAATAGCACGAAGATTGTTTAATCGTTCAAGACCAAAAAAATCTCCATTACCATCTCGGACATTTTCGATAATTTGTGATGTACCTTGAAATTAAACAACCATATTTACTTTAAGATAAAGGGGTTTCACAAAAATATTTCATTTAAAAATAGCAAAAATATTTGATTTAAAAATGTAAAAATTAAATTACCTTCTTTGAATTGCTTCAGGAAAATGCTCACATTGAAGCTTCGTTTATGTGATAGTAGTGTAATTACTGCATTCTTTCTAGTTGTACGTCGTTCAACATTTGACGTATCAGTAGATGGTCTAGTAACTGCACAACTAAACATCGATTCCAATTCATCGAAATTAAGATGCAATTCTGAAAAATGAACATATCCAAAGGTTAGCACAAAAAATGAAATTCAAAAGTTTTGAGTTTTTTTAAAATACTAAGTAAAATTAGGGTAAGATAGTCAGCTAATGGTGAGTGAAAAATTTTCAGAATGAAAAAAAAAATTTTTAAATTCTTTTCCTATATTATTTCAAATATTTAGTTTTCTTGTCCAAGAAAACTAAATATTTGAAATAATATAGAAAAAGAATTAAAGATTAGAAAGCAATCTGAATGAATAGATACCAAATATCAACCACAATTTTCCGTTTATATAAGAATTCCGTTTATTTCGCTTTTTATAATTCATATTCAGTTAATAAAGTATTTCTACTAATAGTAACTAGTCCTTGTTTTTAACTGCAGCAAGACGAAATTCTGAATCTACACGAAATAAATTTTTAGAAATTTGGTTTGATGGAACTCCAAAACCATACCATTTTCAGAAAGTCGCGCGGATGACATCCAAACGTTGTGGATATTTTGAATACCATCACCAATTACCTAAATACTTTCAAATTTTATTATGTAATTTTATCCGGAACATTTAAAACTATACAATTCAAAGAAGTCTTCCCTATTTCTATTCGATTATCCGTTCAGAGAAGCCAATTTATGAAAGTTCATTTTGATGTATGAAGATGATCTGTAGGAGCTTTAGACAGGATTTTTCGGGCTTAAAATCCATGAAATATGAGATAATTATGGGTTTGAAATAATTATGAATTTTAAGATTGAAACAATTATGAATTTTAAAGAAAATGGATAATAAAAATTTTACAGTCTTCAAAAAATAAATTTTCTTTTTTTGAATATTACAAAATTCCCGTTTTATAAATTCTAGAATGACCTTTTCAACGGGTATTTTAGTCCATTGGATTTGTTTCATCTGTGATCCAGCTTTGGGCATAGCTTTTGGTTTCAATGCTTTCGGTATGTCTAATTTTTTCTTTGGTCTAAATCCTTTCGCATTTAGCTGAAGCGGTGGAGGAGGTGGCGGACCACTGGAGATATCCGATGATAGTGGAGGAGGTGGAGGAGGTGGCGGTGGCGGAACTGGTGAAGGTGTTGCAACCATGGCTGGTAGTGCTACACCAAGTACGGGTGGTGCTGAAGAAAAGTGAAATTTGATGAGCAGGAACCTGAATAAAACATATAGTGCAAAGGTCATTTATTTGCAATATATACCTCAGTATGCACTTAAAAGATAAGTTGTGAAATTCTAAATCATTGCGTAATGGCAAATAGACCAATATATGTTTAGTTGATTGAGAATGGGATAGAATGAAAAAAGTTAATTCCTTGAAAATACTCTTTTTAAAAATAGAAAATATTTTTGTATTTTCAAAGAAAATACAGAAAGGAGATACGCATATTTTTTCATCTGAAATTTTCAATCTGAAATGTTTTTCCATACAAAATTCTAAACAGCAGTTGAATTAAATTAGATGGTTTAAATCAGAAATCTTCCGTACTGATTGTTAGCTGAATTGGTAGTAGAGCTACTGAACAAGAGAAAAATGCTATTTGCGTTTATCTCTCAGAAAATTGAAGTATTTAAGTTATTAACATTATTATTTGATCATTCAATACAATTCCATAAATTATTTAATACTTACATATCCTTAGAATTTTATGTTTGAGTTGTTAAATTATTCCGTGAAACTCATTCTTTAATTTGAAAAAAAAATCAGGAATACAAATTTTCGAAAGAGGAAATAAAAATGAAGGTTAAAGAAATTTGTGGGAAACTTAAAATAAAATATAAGTTTTATAAACCTTGAATGAGTTCGTCTTTTTTGTTCTCAACCTTTCCACCCATCTTCTGCTTCCCAGTTCCGATCTCCATTCTCACTATCATTTCAGCATCGTTCTTTAAAAAAAATCTCTTCTTACCATTTAATAATATTTAGATTTGATTTGATTTAATAATGATCTCAAAAGCTCGAATTTTTTACGCTTGAAATACTACCAATCATTTCTTTCCTGAATGTCCATTTTGAAATTATTGTCAATTATATGATAAAAAGATACAAGACTTAATAAGAATTCAGTCTACATGTCAATATCGTTGACCAATGGATGATGAGAAGTTAGCAGTAAATTAAGCAATCAGAAGGTAATTGCATCCTTGAGATAATGGTTAATATATAGACTACAGTGCGGAGTTATAAATCAAAGTTAAAAACTTCAATCACTTCTATCTTTATGTATTTTTCAAAAAAGAAGTACTTCCGGACACAACATGGATGATTAGTTAAAAGATATAAGATTTGATTTAATTTAAAAATTGCAATTTTAAAATACGCAATTAAGATTTCAATTGTTTACATGGAATTATCATCACAATAATCAATGTCTTTAAAAGTATCTCAATAAAGTATAAATTAACGTGCTTTAAAGATGGAAAAATTTATATAATATTACATGAGAATTAAGTAACTCACCGGACTACATTTAAGTAATAATGTCTCGACCAATTGCTCAAGATTACTAAGATTGATCGAATCTGTTTTATTCTTTAACAAATTAACCAATTGTACAAGAGCACTATCTTTGTAACACGAATCATCTAAGCTCTGAAATATTTTTGCATTTTAATGAAATGGGTAAAAATTAATGATATTATTGAAGAAATTAATGTTTTTGCAAATAACAAAATATCACAATTTTCGAATAGATAGAATGGATAATTTTGCATTTCTTTTCATACGTTTATGGAATGAAGTTGAAATTGCATTACATAAACAAAATGAATGAATTAGAGATGAGGAAGGATTCGGATAGAAGAAATTAGCATATAAATTAGTTGAATTTTAACAATCGAAAATAAATTTTAATTTTAATTCTTATTCTAATTGCTTTTTTAAATCATATGAGAAAAAAAGATTAGCTGTCACAAATTAATAAAATAATGTTGGAAAATTAATGATGAAATGCTGAATACGACAAATGCTAAAATGGAAATTGAAAATTTTATAGAACATATTAACATATATAAATTAAACCTTAACATCCAGTAATATTGCATTGGTAATACTATTTAACGCTTATTACACTTTGAATTCAACTACTTACAAGCTAGTAGAATATTTTTAATATTTTTTGAAAAATATTCTAATTTATTCATGAATTTTTAATAAAAAAAAAACGATTTCTACCACTGAAATTGTTCGGTGAATTTATTTTCTTTTATCATCTATACGACATTTCAGTAAATTTATTAACTAAGGTCAAAATTATTCCGCATTTCTATCTTCAAGTATGCATAACCTACGTGTTCCAATTGGTTACATATATAAATATCATAGTTTTTCTCATTCACATTTAGTCAATACGGAATATTTAACTTAACCAAAGCCTAACCCATCACTACAATTTTTTTTGAAATAATTTATGAAAAAATGAAATTTTTAAATTATAACATATAAGCGCAGAAATTTTGTACATTGTTATCCCAGGTTGGCGATGTCTGAACCGTTTCCACAGAAGCCATCCGATATCCCTCTTCTTCTTCACTTTCTTCAGTGAATGAATTCGAATCCTCAGCTTCTGTAAAGAATGATGATCGGCCTGCAAATATATTTGAAAATTTTGATCATTTAAGCCTGAATTATCCGAGAAAGATAGTGAATCACCCTTTTTTAATATTGATTTGATTAATTGAAAAAAATGAAAATTTCTTAACACCTCTTATACATGCATCAGCAGCATTTTGAAGATGTCCTGATTGCCAATGCTCAATTTGTTCGCTTATTTCACGATCAAATTCTCCAAATGTTCCACTGCTCAACAGTGCTCTGAAAGGCGTTCGGGATTATTTTCTCTTTTATCTTTTATAAAATTTATTGAAATTGACGCATAGATTAATAATAATTGTGATCGTTATATCGCTAATCTTTAATCTTACTTACAAAGTTCTTCCGTTACAATTAAATAATTCAAGCTTTAATCAACGAACATATTTTACGAAATAATTCATTGTCTAGGAAATGTTTCTTTTTTCAGGTTAATACTTGACCTATAATTTACTTAATAGTCTTTAAGCTTAATAGTCTTTAAAGTAATAAAATGGTTGGAGGAAGTGTGAATTTTACAAGTTCTAGAAAAAATAGCTTTTTTTGAAGAAACAAATTTATGATGCAAACAGTTTGTGAACTTTTCTTGAACAATGATGAAAACAGTTTGTAATAAATAAATAAGTTCTGAAAATGAAAAGAGAAAATGAAGAAAAAAGGAGAAGTGAAAATAAACCGAACGTCTATTCCGGGATGAAATGATCTTTGAACTGCTAAATATCGCGCAATTCGTCATTGAGCTTAACCTCATGACCTAATTTTTCGTTCAAAAACCTTTCTATATCAATTACGAAGCTCAGAATTGGTCGTTATATATGCCTTAACGATACAGTCATAATCATCTTGTTGATTCTATTTCAAGCAATCGTTTCAGATCAAATTCTGTTGGCCTTGAAACTTGAACAGATCAACATGGGTGGTATGGGTTAAATGTTGATCTGCCGTAAAATTCATTTAACAGCAGAAAAATAATGCAACGTATACGATACATTTTAATGAATGATAATGTACGAGAAACATCAATGACAAACTTTGCAAAGTTTCTGATGAAAACTCCTTACTTTCTCGCTCTCCCAGCACTTTCTCTTTCTGTTTTAACTTGAATTAGCGGAATTTTTCTATCGGAATTTTAAATCCATTTGATGAAAAATTATTTTCTAACCCTATTTAAATGCATGAAAGGAATGTGGTGCAAGTTAGTAATGCTGATTTTTCCGTGAGATGAACGCTGGACCTGCTTTTATATTCAATAGTGAAAGTTTCCTGATGATGACACCAATTGTCCATTACGCAAGGCCGAACACTGACCATTAAGAAAAGAATGGGATGTGAATCACTTAACTGTCTGTTGAATGGACCGTAGACCTTTCTTTGCATCCATTCAAAACATTTCAATTTGAAAACTTGTCCATTTCTAATTATTTAGATTTCCATCATTAATCTTTTATAAAAATTTTTGATGGAATTAAAGCAATGTAACCCATTAAAACGAGTTTATATTTCATAATTGGAAACTTTTTGTAGACCCTGTCTACCAGAAATTATGTAACAGCATGGATGATGTGGAAGTGTATTGCTCGCCATATAATGCAACCAGCCTAGATAAAAGGTGGGAAAAATTTAGATAACTTTCATTGTTAGGCTTTTTCTACGATCTAAATATGATTTTTATTAGCATATCTTACCCTTTTTTTCTGAATTCGCTATTGAATGATTGTTACTTTTTTTGGAAACTAAAAATAAGAAGCTTATTTCAAAAATAATATGCAAATTGCATTTTGCCAAGTCAATCAACAATTGGAGTGAATGAATTGAGGAAACTATTATGAGAATGAAAGCTATTGAAATAGAACGAATAACACATAAAATAGTGCTATTGAAAATTTCATTTTATCTTTTAGATAGCATAATATCTAAACCAAAGTGTGAGAGAGTATGTGGCAATTACGTCAGCTCTATTTATCTATTTATCAATCTTCGGTCATTTTGTAACGGTAACAGATGATTGTCATCACTAATTAAGGCATACTAGGCAATGTTAACAGGGAAAAGAATTTTAGTTTATTTGCAAGAAATTAGCCAATCATTCAGGTTAGATCAAAGAATGCATTAACATTTATGGATAAGGGAGAATTAATATGAAAACGAAAAGAGTGACAAAATTATTCATCAGTTAGTGCTTCTCTCATCAGAGTGAGCAGAAATCTTTGTTTGGCTAATATGTTCCAACAATATCACTCAGCATGACTGTCAGAAAGCACTGAAATATGATCGAATTATCGAGTCTTTGGTAAATTTTATGACAACACCTTTAGTAATTTTATTTAACAGAAGGAAAGATCGATTGATTATTGACTGATCATCGAACGTGAAGTAATATTGATGATAATTATGGACCAAAAGATTATAATTTGAGCGAAAGTTAAGTAACAAAAATCGAACGATGAAATTAAGGTATGAATTTGAGGTGTAAAATAATACTGGAAGAATTGAACGATGAATGGAGAAAATGATAGCAATTCATTGAATGACTGAAACGAAACGATGAGATCAAGAATGACAGACTAATAAAAAAAGTAAAAATAAATAAAAACAAACAATGAGAAGGTAAAAATAAAATGCAAACATTAACAAAATGAATGTTAATCACCATTGAAAATCAAAATCTGAATAACAATCTCTTCAAAATCAAAGTTTCATTTTCAAAATGTTTATTTGTTTATTGCGATCACTTTTAGGTATGGCTAAGGCTTAGTAAATATGTCTAAATGAAACGAAATCTAGAATAAGCAAGTAGCGTAATATGAAAATATATGCAAAAAGTTCTTGTTGAAGAAGTGAGATAAATTAAACTTGGCTAATTTTATGACTGGCAATCTAAAATATTTTACGTACAGCTAAATGTCCAATCGCATTATATCAAAAGAATTACTTCTGGTGAAGTCATTAAGCTACAAATTTATCTATTCCAGTATTAATATAAATCTTGGGAATTTATCAACAGTTCATCAAGCGCATCAATAGAATTCTTGAGATAGTAATTCGAGATCGTCTTTATAATATGGAGGTATAAAGAGACATAGGTTAGTTATATGGATGACTAATAACTTCTAATACATTATATTTTTTTCCATCACTGTTTGCATAAATGGAAGGAAAAGATGAGAGGCGAAAACAGAAAGAATGTGTAAAAATGATTTCTTTTCTTCGCATTAATATCAGGGAGATGTTTTCGGATGTGCACATTCAATTGAAGATGATGGCATACAGCGCCAGTGTTACGTTCCACGTTACTAACGTTTTCACGTGTAAATGAGGCAATAAGATTGCCATCAAGCAGATGTAATTTGCATCACAAATAAAAATAATCCAATATCTTTCACCAAATCATTCTAGAATGAACAAGATAATGCCACTGATCTTATTGCTTTCTTTTTAACTGAAATTTTAAAAGCGTGCTTAAATTCGAACTCCGCAGATATCACTTTAAAAGACTGTTGTATCCCACTTCTTCAATTTATTTTATTTATTTATTTATGTTATTTGAAGAGAAAAGAGAAAAATGAAAATTTATTGCAAGTTTAAATTTAATATTCTACACTCTCCCATTTTTCCTTTTTCTCGTTCTGTTGTTCATCAAATTGCGTCATATGAAAGAATATCCTTCACGCCTGCTATTTCAATTTATTGCACAAACAAATTGAAATTTCACTCCAAACCTCTCCAACCTCGGCCTTGATTGAAATTTCCGACCAAAATTTGCTGCTATTATGTAAAATGATTTCGTGCTTTTCTTTTCCTTCCTTCGCTTTGCTTCGCTTTTTTACATTGAAATTGTTGGCATAAACCTATCATCAATTGTATACCCAATAAGCAATTTTTCAAAAATTCTTTGAATAGCTTAAATTTTAGAAATTTAATAACCAGTTATTGATTTCATTTGATTTGCTTCAATATTGAATTTGGTACTTAGTAACACTTATTTTAGATCATGTTAAATAATTCATTAATTTAATTCCAAATTATAAAATCTTTCGCAAAATTCAACTTGAGATAAAACATATATTTCAAAATTGTCACTCATATCTGCCGACAAAATGTTCCTTGCGATTATCGGTGAAAACTTAACCGGAGAGTCGAAATTATTAATAGCCTACGAAGATGAATATTAGAAAAAGTGTTTTGATGGATAATATCGTCAGATTCGGTGCGCAGTATGAACTGTGAATTTTATGGAGTTCTTCAGTGAAAAAAAATTTATATCAATAGATGAATGAAAAAATATCATTATCAAAATCATAAGCCACTGTTTTCTTATTCTCAGCTAAGTATTTAATTATATTTGGCAGCCTACTGGCTGATTATAGTTATTGGCAATTTCATGCATAACTATTACATTTTCACTAAATCTAAGAATGGAAAAATTGATGAACATCATTCAATTTTTCAGTATTTACAGGAAAATATAAAATTTTTGCTAAATATAGTCTCCATAATATATAATATAATGTACTGACATAAAAGAAATTTTTGTAATACATAATCTCATACGAGTGGACAAAACGAGCAATATAATCAGTGTTGATTTTAAAGAAAGGTGAAATTCAAAGTGTTGTTAGTTTAAGAGCATAATGACAAAAGAGTACAAATGATTCACATAACAAATATAATCATTGCATGAATCATTCTCTCCTCCTTTATCATTGAGTTCTTGAACTATTTTTGAAATCAACTATGTTTACATACAAAATTACTCCATTTTTGAAATAACATAATCGAATAAAAAAGAACTTTCAAGAAAACCATAATGCAAAGATTCAAAAATTGAGAAGAATAAAGGACCGAAACAAAAACGCATGAGGAACCAAATACCTTTTAGATGGCATTTTTCTTTTGATTAATGCAAACTCAGTGGACTGATCTATCAAAGTGACATAAATCGTATAGGCAGAGTGATATACACATACTACAAAAGGAAAAGATGCGCAAATATTTGCCGATAAGCTTTTCCCGCGTTACTTTTAGTAAGTAAATCTATCTTTTGTGTGTGCTTTAAAGGGTATATGGAAAGTACAAATAGTATAGTATATGTATATTTTGAGAGAATACTACAATACAGATCGATTACTTTTATTAAAGTTATCTTTTTAGATGCGAATTTATATTAGGAGGAGGAAAAGAGTAAAAGATTATATTTGCAAATATTATATTTTCTGAATAAATTTATTGCTGAATTTTTAGAGATTTTTTTCCAAATTTTTTTCCAAAAATTGTTTTATTACATTTTGAGGTTTCTTAAATGCTAACATATTGATTTTAGTTATTTACTTCGTTCCTAGCGGTTCTTTAATTAATTATAACCCAAATATTGATAAAAATATTTTTTATTGGAAACTGGAAATGATAAAATTGCTCTTTGGAACGTTATTTGAATAAAAAGTCATACATCTTTCGATTGCAAGTCGGGTACTGCTTTATAAAGGATTTAGATAACAGTCATCAAAATATTTTGTTTAACCAGACTATTGTTTCGTATGATCAAAATTATTAGAAAAATGAAATAAATGATGGAACGGTGAGGAGTAGGTTATAGCAAATAGTTTTTTAATAATTTCTTGAGAAAAAAATGAAATCTAAATAAATTTGAATTTATGGTGCCAATTGAAGCGTACATTACTTATAGAAGAAACGGTATATCTTTCAAAAATAAAAAAAATTCCTATAAAAAAATAGAAATTGTGATGAAATTATAAAAACTCATCAAAAAATTTGAATACCTTTCCCTCCAATAGCATATTAATCAATTTTAATTGATAAAACAAAATAGCATTACTGTTTGTTGTAATCTACTAGATGAATTACTTATTCATCCAACAGATTGATTGATAATGAGGGAAGGATATATGCCGTATGAGAATATCAAAAACCGGAAATTCTTATTAATTGTAGTACCATCAATTAATATTATTTACAGCAGTAGATTGAGTGCTTTTGAAGAAAATAAAAAATCGACCAGATTTGAAAATATTATTATTTAAGATTTATTTAGGAAAAATAGTATTGTAATGCGAGAGGTGGAAGAATTGCCCAAATTGAGAGACCAACGTGAAATTAAGCAATTGATAAAATGGAATGAAAATTGTAGTTTTATCAATAATGGGAATTGGTGAAGAAATAGTAACAGATGCAATTTATATGAAATGATGACAATGACAAAGAATTATCAGAGAGTTGAATGGGAAATTATCGTTACTGATTCCTCATATGGAAAAAAGATAACCGGTCTAGAAATGTCCTTTACAGGCTTGGGAGAGGTAAAATCAAAACAAGGTTTAATTTCGTTATACTTAATTAATTTACCTAATACACTTACTCGG